GTGACAATAAAGGATGTATATAATAAAAGATATATATAAAGATGTAAATTTATATAAAAAAAAAGTTTATATAAAAAAAATTTCTTTATGGTCTGCTTCTCTCAAAGAGTGTCCTGTATCAGTCAAATAAAGCATCGCGCGGGAAAAGAACGGAAACACAGTCGATTGGTGTTCTCTCTTCTCATCACATCCTTGTGTTTCTGCTCGACCTCATAATCGCGATTGCTCGAGGGTGAAGACAAATCGATCGGTGCGCCTTTTCTTCTCCTTCACTTCCCTTCATTACGACGTCCATTTACGAGAATGTCGTAAATGGGGAAGGCGTACAAGAAACGGAGCGGAAAGAGAGGTTGGAGGGGTGGTGTGCGCTCTCGCGAAGCCAGGCAAAAATGGCCAGCACAAAACAGTGAACGTAATGTGATACTAAATGATAATAAAGCTAAAGTAATTATTGTTTAGCGTGCGACGCCGCGGCGTTCATGGCACGAGCGCGACTCGTGGCTCTTGGCGTGAGCAAGAGGAAAATCTTGCGATCGCGAAGGGACATCGAGGAGGATACCGACGAAGAAAGATCTTGCGAGTCGCCTATATAATAATTTAAGCAATCAGCTTTTTATCATCATTCTTTCCTTTACCCTTTCGCCCACCCTTATCACGCACTCCCGACATCAGTCGTCCCCTCTTCTCGAGCCGTAAACGCACTAGGATTATGCATTACAGATTATTTTATTGTTAATTAATTATGTTTAGCGCGCACGCGCACCTGGATGTCCCTCTCGAGACACCGTGATCGCACCGTTGAGGAGAAAAGAAAAGCATAGATCTCGAATTTCGCTTTCGATCGCAGTTGATCGAGAATGCGGAAGAAAATGATACTTTTTTTTTATATGATTATTTGACGTTGCAGAATTCTTCGGAATTTCTTTTGTCATTGTATAGCAGTAAAACAATAAAATGAATTACGCATCGTTCAGTAAAGAGAAAATTTAAGAGATATAAAGACCAATAATTGGCAAAATCTTGCAAAACGTGTAAAACGTTGATTTTCTACCATCACCGTTCTGTAAATTTAGCGTCTTCTTTTCCTCATTCGGACATCCGGGTGAAACCATTGTAGATTTTAAGCATCTTCCAAGCGGGGCGCGAGCTCCGTGTGCTTTCTTAGTGTTCATAGGTTTATGAAAAATAAATTAAAATTCTGAAGAAACCTGGTGTACGACAAGATAAAAAGAAGCGAGCATAATCGAACTAATATATGTATGTTTCTAATACTTCCCTCTTCCATTCCTTTAGACCTGTTTTGTGATCTATTGAAAGATACCTATATTATTTAATTGCGCGATTGTGAAATGTGTATATACATAATAATATATACAAAAATTTGTAGAAGAATTGCATTTGAATTTAAATATTACTAAGCAAATTTAACGATTTTAATAAATTAGTTAAACGAACCCATTTTAAATTATTTCACAAATTACCGATTTTGGGAGCTCTTAATAATTTTGATATAATTAAAGAAGACGAAAAGAAAATTATGTACACTTATTTAACGGAATTTATCTATATATCGTTACGTCTGTCTATCCCTGTTAACGATCACTACCTTCATCGATGTGAATGAGAATATAAGATCAAAATCAAAAAGTTAATTATTGTTTTCGTGATACGGATAGCGGTTTGCTGTTCACAGAATCTTCAAAGAGTTCCCCAACAGAGGTGCAAAAGATATCGCCAGCTAACGGTCCGAGGACTTCTCGGTTTTGTACAAAAAGAAAAACCACAGCGAGACCCGTTACTAGTGGGCTACGTTCCAACAAGACGCTGTATATACCGTATACATCCAATCTGGATGGTGTCGATTGC